TATAAACTGACCTCTGAGCACTGCTTTTGCTATGTCCCAAAGGTTCTGGTAGGGTCTGTTTTCATTCTCATTTGATTCTGTGAATTTCTTTATCCATCCTTAATTTCTTCTATAACCCAGTAGTTTTTGAGCAAGTTTCCATGAGTTTGATTTTTTTTTTTTCTTGCTTTTTCTGTTGTTGATTTCCACTTTTTTGGCTTTATGGTTAGAAAAGATGCTTTGTAATATTTCGATGTTTGGGATTTTGTTAAGGCTTGCTTTATGGTCTAATATTTGGTCTATTCTGGAGACTGTTCCACGTGCATTGGAAAAGAAAGTATACTTGGCTGCTGTTGGGCGGGGTGTTCTGTATATGTCTATGAGATCGAGTTGATTGTAGCATTTAGCTATTCAGTGTCTTTGTTGAGCTTCTTTCTGGATGTTCTGTATCCTTCACCAAAAGTGGTGTGTTGAAGTTTCCTACTACTGTTGTGGAGCTGTCTATCTCTCTTTTCAGTGCTGTTAGAGTTTGTTTTATGTATTTTGGAGCCCTGTCTTTTGGTGTGTAAATATTTATTATAGTTATGTCCTCCTGGTGTATTGACCCTTTAATCATTATATAGTGTCCTTCCATATCCTTTGTGGTGATATTACTTTAAAATCTATTCTGTCAGAGATTCATATTGCCACTCCTGTTCTTTTTTGAGTGTTGTTTGCTTGATACATTTTTTTCCATCCTTTGAGTTTAGTTTGTTTGTGTCTTTTAGTCTAAGGTGTGTCTCTTGTAGGCAGCATACAGACGGATCATGTTTTTTATCCAATCTGCCACTCTCTGTCTCTTTATTGGTGCATTTAGTCCATTTACATTCAGTGTGATCATTGATAGGTATGAGTTTAGTGCTGTCATTTTGATGCCTTTTTTTTTTCTGTTATTGACAGTTTCTTTGTTCCACTTAATTTTCTGTGCTGAGTCATTTTTCTTTATTTTCTTTTCATCCTTGTTGATTTTGTATTTGCTGAGTCTTTATGTTTTTCTTGCTTTTTATTTTGATGTTTAGGATTGTTAGTTTCCCTTGTGGTTACCTTAATATTTACCCTTATTTTTCTAAGTTTAAACCAATCTTTTATTTCTTGATATCACCTTGACTTCTCTCCATATGAAAGATCCATAACTACATTATTTGGTCCCTCTTTTTGTTTTAATGTTATTATCTTTTACATATTGATGTCTCTGTATCCCTGTTTTCAGTGTTTTATCTTTGATATATCTGTGACTTCCCTATCTTTGTTGATATCTGGTTGCTCTGTCCTGTGTTCTAGTCTTGGGTTGTTATCTGATGTTATTGATTTTTTAACTGGAGGACTCCCTTTAGTATTTCTTGTAATTTTGGTTTTGTTTTTACAAATTCTTTATACTTCTGTTTATCTGGAAATGCCCTAATTTTGCTATGATATTTGAGAGACAGTTTTGCTGGATATATAATTCTTGGCTGGCAATTTTTTTCCTTCAAGATTTTATATATGTAATCCCATTGCCTTCTTGCCTGCATGGTTTTTGCTGAGTAGTCTGAGCTTAGTCTTATTGACTCTCCATTGTAGATGACTTTTCTTTTATCCCTAGCTGCTCTTAAAATTCTCTCTTTATCTTTGATTTTGGCAAGTTTGATTATAATATGTCTTGGTGACTTTCTTTTGGTATCTACCTTGTGTGAGGTTCAATGAGCTTCTTGGATTGTCATCTTTCAGGATATCAGGGAAATTTTCTGCCAATAAATCTTCAACAATTCTCTCTGGATTTTCTGCTATCCCCACCCATTCTGGTACTCCAATCACTCATAGGTTATTCCTGTTGATAGAGTCCTGCATAATTCTTAGGTTTTCTTCATTTTTTAAAATTCTTTTATCTGATTTTTCTTCAAATATGTTGGTGCCACGTGCTTTATCTTCAGTCTCACTAATTCTGACTTCCATTGCCTCAGTTCTGCCCCTATGACTTTCTATTGAGCTAATTCTGAAATTTTATTGTTAATCTTCTGAATTTCTGTTTGCTGTCTCTGTATGGATTCTTGCAGCCTGTTAAATTTGTCATTATACTCTTGTATGACATTCTTAAGTTCCTCTAATGCTTTGTCTGTGTGTTCCTTGGCTTGTTTTGTGTTTTGCATGCTCTCCTTCCTGATCTATTGAAGAGTTCTGTATATTAATCTTTTGAACTATACCTCTAGTAATTCCAAGAAGTTCTCTTCCTCCAGAAGATTTGTTGATTCTTTATTTTGGGTGCGTGCTGAAGCCATCATGGTCTGCCTCTCTATGTAATTTGATATTGACTGTTGTCTCTTAGCCATCAATAAATTATTATATTTATTTATTTTATGTTTGCTTACTGTGTCCTAGCTTCTTGTTTTCTTTTGTTTTGATATGCCCAAATAGGCTGCTTGTGTGACCTTGCTTGATTATTGGTGCTTTTGAAGCTCTCACGTCCTGTCACCAGGTGGTTAGAGCTGTTACTAGGTACGTGAGCCCAGGATTCCATTTACTTTTCTTGTGTGGATCCAGCTCAGATGTCCAGGTAGTTGGTCACTAAGTAGTGGTACAGGCTCTCACCTACAGTCCTAGATGGGCAGGGGTAATTGGAGTAGGCACAGGTATCTGGCTGCAGTAGGGGGTCATGTGCTGAGCAAGACAGGGGACTGACGGCTGCCCTTGAATGTCTGGGAGGAAAGTGTGATCCTATTCCCTAGAGTGTATAGGAGGATGGGTTTTGCAGCTGGACTGTGGGCAATCAATGCTGTTGGCTGTAAGGACTGGGGGGCACCACTTATTCTTTTACCCTTGTTGTGGGTGGCTAGGTGGCATGGGTGAAGTCACCAGTCCTCAGGTCTGTGATGTGGGTAGGTGAGCATCCTGCTTAATGGGCAGAGCAGTGTCAAATGTCATGAACCTGCTACTCCACCTTATAGCTGATACAGTTTTGAAAATAGGCTTCAGGTATAAACCCTGTTGTACTGTGCTAATGAGGGCCTATGCTGTTGAAATGGGCTCACACAGGTCTGTGCAGGGGTGAAAGGCATTCAAAGTCTGTGGACCCCTTATGTCTGTGCCTAGGCAAAGGCACTATGCCTGCCCTGAGCTCCCGGCTTAGGGCAGCTGGCGGATTATTTTTTCCTGTTTGTTTATTTGTTCCCTCTCCAAAGCCTGGTGAATGGCTCAGGGTGTGCTGCGAGTTCTAGAGTTCTGCTTCAGGCCCAGAAGATGTGAGGATCTGAAGCCAGCCTGGTACCCAGTGCAGAGCGGGGAGGGGGCAGATAAATGGGAGAGAAGTTCTTCCCAAAGGGGGTGTTTTTTGATCTGTGAGGTAGGTTAGTTGCAGATACTTATCTTTTGCTGACCGAGTGCGGCTTCTCGCTGGTTCTGGAGGCTTGAGTAGACTCTCATGCATTTGGTCTCCCCTGTGTTGAAAATAGGTCCCAAGCACCACTGCTTGCCTCACTGCACACACCGGCTGATCCAGCCTGCAGGGTGCCAGTTCCCACCTGCTCAGGTCTGGCAACTCCTCACTGCTTCTGAACTGTCTCTCCACCCCCCTGCCACTCAGTCCAATTCCTCAACTTAGACTTTGATGTTCAGAATTCCTAGATTGTCATATATAATCAATTCACTTGTTTTTTTGGTCTTTGTTGTAAGAGGGACACAGGAAGCATCTGACTACTCTATCATCTTCAAAAGTTTTTAATTTTTATGAGGTCCTATTTATTTTCTCTTTTGCTGTTTATGCTTTTGTGATTATATTATTCACTGATAAAAGCTAGGCCCAACAATGTTGCCCCTACATTTTCTTTTAAGAATTTTATGGCTTTAGTTTGCACGTTTAGGTCCTTAATCCATTTTGAATTTGTTTTTGTGTATGGTATGAGCCATGGATCCTGTTTCATTTTTATACAGGCGGAAATCCGATTTTCCCAACACCATTTATTGTAGAGATTCTTCTTTTCCCATCAAATGGACTTAGCACCCTTGTCAAAAATCTGCTGGCCATAGATGTATGAGCTTATTTCTGGACTGTCAATTCTATGCCATTTGTCTACCAATACCAGACTATTTTGATTACTGTAGTTGTATAGTATGTTTTAAAATCAGGAAGTGTGAGTCCTCCTACTTTGTTCTCTTTCAACATTGTTTTAGCCATGCGGGGCCTCTTGACATTCCATATAAAGTTGAGGATTGGTTTTTCTACTTCTGTAAATAGAGCTGTTGGAATTTTGATTGGATTGCGTTGCATCTATAGATTATTCTGGGCAGTATTGACATCTTAACAATATTAAGTCTTCCATTCCATGAACATGGAGCATATTTCCATTTATTTAAGTCTCCTTTAACATCTGTCAGCAGTGTTTTATAGTTTTCATTGTATAAATCCTTCATTTATTTATTTTATTTTGATAACTAAAAATTAGGACTTCCTCCTATCTTCGATACACGGTTGTGTGTGTGTGTGTCTGTATGCCTGTGTGTGTGTCTGTATGCCTGTGTGTGTGAGAGAGAGGGAAGTAGAAAGGGAGAGAGAGAGAAAGGTGGAGAGAGAGAGAAAGAGAAGCGAAGTAAGGGGTAGAAGAATGAATCAGTTTAAGAATTTTCTGCAGATATTTTGTTGTTTCTATAAAGAATTGGCTCTTAAACCTGGTCTACCACTTAATGGCTATGTATATGAAACCCTTAGGAAATTATGTAAAATCTTTATGACTCAGTTTCTTCATTTGTAAATGGGGATAATAATAACTGTGATTGTTGTGATTAAATATCATCTATATACAATCCTTAGAAAACTGTCCAGCAATAGTTAACACCTAATAAATATGGTTATTGTCTTTCTTATTCCTCTCTCATTTACTGCATTAAAAATTTAAGCATTCTAAAACACAAACTATCATTACTATTAATAAAATATTGAAAAAAAAATTGGAGAACAAAATTCCCTAGAGATAGTGTCTATGATTCTTTGTATCCATTCCTTTATTTTTCAGCTTTTAGTCCAAGATGGAATGAAACCTTCACCTTTATAATTCACGTACCAGAATTGGCATTGATACGTTTTGTTGTTGAAAATCAAGTTCTAATAACTGGAAATGAATTTCTTGGGCAATATACTTTACCAGTTCTATGCTTGAATAAAGGTAATATTTCTTAAAGTAAGATTATTAACAGTTAATATAACATGCATATATTATAGATACACTTTGGCATCCCAAATAGCTGTATCCCTGAAAAGTGGATATAAAGGAGATTTTACATATTGACACATATTTTCTCTCAGTGGAATTACAGAAATGTGCTCTCATGTGGAATGTGGGGTGAGGGTGGGGGATTACTAGGAAGACTAATTGGGCAGATCATAGCTCTTTTGTTTTAGTGAAGAGTAGTCATGACTACCATAAAAAAAATGAAGGATGGGAATCATCCAGAAGGGAGAAGCAGTGACTCATTTTTCCCGCCTGAGGAGAAGAGACTGGGAGCCCAAGACTGTCCTTTCCTGACCCTTTCAGGGCTGACTTTATGTTGCAGAGTCCCCTTGCCTGGATGATTTACTGTATGATCCCATTATGTTTACTCATCTAACACCAGCTGAGATGTATCTAGGAAACAGGTCTTCCTAAAGCAGGGGGTGGTGGTTAATTTTGGAACATACTATAACATAGTCTGAACATGTTAGGCAGCAGAAAGCCAGGACAGAAGCTGCAAATATTTTATTTTTGTGGAAAACTAACACAAGATGGAAATATAAGTAGCCAGTCATGGTTTTCATGTATGCTTAGTAAATATATCCTCTTTCTCAGTAGGACTATTGGGAGCATCACTGATTAATTTATTTTTATTGTTCTAATTAGATACAATTCCCTTTGCAGGTTACTGTCGTGTTCCTCTGTTTTCCAAAGCAGGTGAGAATCTTGACCCTGCTTCACTGTTTATTTATGTTTGGTACATCAGATAGCAACTAACCATCTCTTACATGTTGTTAGGTGTACATTGCAATAAAACAGCCAAAATGAATGTCCACATCCTTCTTTTTTAACATATAACAAGGTAATTATTTACAAGAACAGAAGCATTGAGGGAATTCACTTTCAAATGTACCAGATGGAGCAGTGCAAATGAGAAAAATAAACTTCAGAGTGTCCCGACCAGTGTGGCATTTTTGTCAGCTGACTTCTATTGCTCCTCTGCTACTGAGGCTGCTCTTTCAACTTGCGTCTATCATTTTCAATTAGTAGAATTTATAAGCTTTTTAAATATGTCTGATTATATAATATATGTTGGCAAATGTTTGGCAATATAAATGAAATGTGAAATCTAAGGGTGTTTTAACTTCTAGACACCCACTACTGCATATTTTAGGGGGAATAAATTAGATTCCTAGGTGGTTTGTGCCATTTTATATCCTAGATGGTAATGAAACCCTGCATTCTCAGGCTAGTTCTCAGATGCAGTGCACTGCATTTGGTACTTTATAATTATACAGACATTTTTATGAGTGCCTTTGAAATTGATTTGCATGCAAACAATATTCAGATGCCGTATCTATAAAAGAGCTCTACTGCATGGACTTACATGCTTGGAGTTCTAAATTAACAATTTGCAATATTTCTAAATCTCCATTAAATTATACACTCTGGAGATTCTCTCTTGGTCAGAGATGAAATTGTTGTGTGATTTTGGATGCTGGGCTTCTCATCATCAGCAGGACTGTGTTTTTCTAAATGCCATATGTGGGAGAATATGAATTCTTAACTGTTCTTCCAAAAATCAGGGATATTAATACTTGTCCCACCATACTGTTGCATGATGGTGATGTGAAAACACCCAGCACTAGGTTTCACAAAGCAGTGCTCAGTACGTATTTGATGAAATTGAATCAGAATTTATAATTAAGATAACAAAATGACTATTTGAGATGTATCTTAATGCATTATCTCTTGATACCAAAAAGACCAAACCCGTTGCTGTTGAGTCGATTCTGACTCATAGTGACCCTATAAGACAGGGTAGAACTGCCCCATAGGGTTTCCAAGGAGCGCCTGGTGGATTCACTGCTGCCCTTTTGGTTAGCAGCTGAACTTTCAATGACTACACCACCAGCGTTTCCATCTCTTGATGGCTAGTAGAAAATACCCCGAATGGCATATTTTACTACTACTCTATTTTACCCTCAACACCAAATATTTAAAATAAGAATGCCATTGGGCATTCAAATTCCCAAGCCATAAGTAGTTAGAAATGTCCTAAGTTATTCAGGGCAGATCATTCCTCAAGGTGGTGAGTATTGAGATTAAGATTGAGGTACATTCTTCCCAATAGATAGTCACAGCCAATTTTAGAGGGATACTTCCATTTTGCCAGATAATGGTTGAATCTTATTTAAATCTTCCATTGTTCAGCCCAACAGCAGGTGGGATGTTCCATAGGGCACCCTGGTGGTGTGGTGGTTAAGAGCTTGGCTGCTAACCAAATGGTCAGCAGTTTGAATCCACCAGCCTCTCCCTGGAAATGCTAACGGGCAGTTCTACTCTGTCCTACAGGGTCGCTATGAGTAGGAATCGGCTTGATGGCAATGGGTTTTTTAAACCTTTATAGACCTTTTGAGGAACTGGAATTCCAGGAGATTTAAAGGCTTTGCTAAGCTGAGTTTTCAGGAGAGTTCATTGATTGTTCAGAGAGAAACTTCTAATTTCTATTTATACCATCAAGCTTTGAAATAAGGGAGAGAGAAAAGATATATTCTTTTTTTTTTTTAACCTTTTCTTCAAGTACCAACCAAACTCACCTCACTAACTTTAAAGACAAATTCTTTCATTTTTAATATTTTACTCTTCATATCGGGAACACAATTTGGAGAGAAACATAATATATCATTTTATTTCCTGTCAAAACAATCTTAAGATATCTTTAAACATGTTTGGTTCCATTTTTGTATGATCTTTGTTTATCATTTACTTTTCCTTTAAATTGAACTGGCATTATTATATTATTTTCTCACAACAACTCTTTAACAGATAATACTCATAGAAACCCTATAGCCAGGGGATGTTCTTGTATTTGAGGAAGTTGGAAATGGTATGTGAAGCTGACTTTGACTTATGCTTTCTAGGCATATTTTGCTTGTAGGAAAAAATAGTGTTGGTGAGTAAAAGTATGCCGAGGAAAAGGCTAAATCAATCCCTGGGACTGTGGCAATAAAAGACCTTTTAACTCTTAAACTTTTAGTTTAAATGTCAGTTCCACAGGGAGGGCGTTCATGATCTCCTAGGTTAGGTTATGTTCTTTGGTTCTGATAAAAGTGACAGCTAGGAACTGACCTGGTACTATCAGCAAGACCTTTGTGTTGCTACGAGCCAGACTTGAACTCACAGCTAGGCCTTGGTGTTCTCCTATTGACCATAAACAGTTTCAAAGAGCATCAACAACAGACCAGGACACTTTTTGACTATGATGGATCAAGACTGAATACATGGCAAGAGGGTGAATATTGTACAAACACAAAAATGCCAATCATTCTCCAATCTGTCTAACAGTAATGACTACGGCTGTTTTACCAATTATAGCTTAGCCTTGATTTATTCTTCCTGTTTTATAAAATCAAAAAACCAAACCCCTTGCCATCAAGTCAATTCCTGCCTTGCAGAGATTTATTAATACGCAATCATAGAGTTGTCCCTTATTCTTGACAATATCCAACCCAGAGGAAAACCCCACTTCCTTGAACCCTCTTCCAAATCATCTAACACATATCCAAGTCTAATAGCAAGTCCTTTCTAATACCCTCTTCCTGAGATGCCTCATGATTCTCCATGTTGTGTGTTCTCCCTCATTGCAATCAGCAAAAAACTCAACTGTGTCTTTTCCTGGTGGTCTTTGGCAGGAGGGATTGTCACAACCTTGAACTTGTCCTTTTGTAACACTCATGACTTTGAATTATGACAGGAAAATGTATTATGTTGTTAACTTGAAACTTTTCTCTTTTTTGGTTGTGGTTCTTTAGGGCCTCAGATAGAAAAAAACGCACAGCATAATCTTCCCCTCTAGACTTACCCTGATTTTTGTTTGGGAGATGATGTCCCCTCGAGGTGGAGGAAGTAGACAAAGGCTAGTGCCATTGCTGAGGAGGAAAGTTGCCCTGTTTGTGAGAGAGGTAAGGAGAGGAGTCCTTGGAGTCATAAAAATATATTTTAATTTTGGGAGTCTACAAGTCTTTTGAGGGATGAAGACACATATACTCAATATGGCTCCTCCAGAAGTTCCAGTCAAAACCTCTGTGCAAATCTCAGGGGAATTGAACATGAAAGAGTTGTTTCGGGAGCCACAATGGGAAGGAGTTCATGCCATTGGTTAGTACAGAGACAACGGAACCACTTACTTTTAAATGAAGCCCTTATGGACTTGAATAACTGACATTTGGTTGGGGACCATATGGACTGAAGTTCATTTGGAGTTATTAAACCCCACATATTCTTGGAATTGCATCAACATTTGTTGAATTGCATTGCTTTCAAAGTAAGAAGACTTAGGAAATATTTGTACAAACAAAGCATTCTCATGATGCATTTGAGAGTCTTAGACCTTTAAGTCTGAGTCGTTTTTAGAGTTCAGAATTAAGCTATTTTCACTAGTCACTGGAAATTCCCATTTTGAACATCAAAGAGGTGGATTGGAGTGGAATTGAACCTATGAAGAGACTGGCCTTCTACATGTTTTCTATGCTTTCACCCTAGTCCAGCACACAGAGAGGTATTGGTGTTAAATGCCTTAAAAACCTGTTCAGGGACCAGTACGCATAAATTACGCTTTCTGTTGATATTCCCATTCTTCTCCCAAGGCAGACACTTTTCTAATCTGATAATCAGAGTTATCTGCAATGTTAGCAGTGCCTAATGTGTGCCTAATATTAAACATAAATTAATCCTTTCATCCCTACTTATTATCATTAAGAAAACAGGCTCAGAAACGTTGAGTTGCCTAAGGTCTATAGTCAGTTACAGAAACAGGGCAGTCTGGCTGCTCCAAAGCTGATGGCACACCATTCAAATGCTTCGTTATGAAAAACACCATTACTACTCAATGTTCAGTTTCAAGAACTGTTTTCAAATCTGTTCTAGGCACGAAGCAATACAGGTTAGCTGTTATGTGAAAGAAAATCCTCAGACATTTCAACTGCCACAGAGAATGGTTATCCTTCTCAATTCATTCTAAGTGTATGGCCTTTTAGAACCGTGAAGACTTACCCAGAGGAGTAAGTTCTCAGTCTGCTCTGGGGAGCAGTACAGCCCTAACACACTCACTCAGAAAAGGTTTAAAATCTCTTGTGACTTTGGCCTTTCTCAATTGTCAGCAGGAACTACTACAAAATTTGCATAATACAGTGCAAAATAAAAATGCCGATCCCTTGTTTTATTTAAAAAAGTGCCATTAAAGGTCGGTACTAAAATATAAAGCTTTCTCCTTTCTTCTGTGGTTTCTCTCTTGCCTTGCCACGGTGTTTTTAATTTCTATTTAATGTCATTCTAAGTAAAGAAAATTAAAATTTTAAATTAGGATCATGAATTTTACCATTTATGTTTATATTGTGCCATATAAATTTCTTTTATTGCAAATATAAGAACATTGGACTCACATGCACTATCACTGAAATTATCAATTCCTGTGTGTATATAAGAACCACTGAAACACTGCACAAAACTAACTCAACTGTACTTTTTGATTTCACTTGTTGCTATGTGCACATTCTATCAACACTCTCTCCTTCAGCTTACTGATGAGTAAGGAAGGACTGAAGGGAAAAGGAATTATGGGCTGCCCTATCTTTTCCTTTCCTTCCATGTCATCATTGTCAGCATATATGGTTGGCTAACACAGGAAAGTACATGAGCAAGAAAAGATATGATGGGGTTCCCTGGCCATTCATGCTTCTTAGGATGCCATTGCCTTTTTGTCTGCATT